AAATCACTATTTGGAACCAGGTGATATGCGAAATCCCGAATCGCATAAAGATGAAGGTGAGGAAGTAGCACACTGATAGCAACGTAGATTATCAGCAGCCGTCTTATCAGCAAATTTTCAAAAATTTTAAAATTTTAGTTCTTTTCCATTTTTTCTCTTTTTCTTTTCTTCCCTCTTCCTTTTCCATTTTCCCTCTTCCTTTACATTATTTTCCCCTTCAAATTACAATAACGAAAGTAATTTTAAGAAAATATTCGATAACAGTAAATGTATTTGTATATGGAACTTTTCTGTCACGTACGAGAGGAATCAATGCAGCGTCTGCAAAATATATGCAAAGCACTGAGACGACAGCGTTATAGGCGGATCCAGGACGGACTGCTGCAGGAGGGGGAGAGGGGGCGGGGAGGAGGAGACGAGAGGGAGGAACTGCGTCTACCGGTGGAACGATGACTGGAGGAGGAGCGGGGGGAGGCGATGGGAGATGCGGGAGAGAGTTTTCTTCAGTTTTAGCTTTAGACCAAGATTTTTCTAGCAATGATACCCGTGCGGTGGGGGAAGGCCCCTTGTCCCCTGGATCCACCTATGAACCGCGTGTAGGTATACTAGTCCTCAGAACCTCCACACGCGTACCAACACCTTCTTGTTCACATTTTCCTTCGTATTATGATTAAAATATCTTCCGATAATCACCAGCATTACAGGGAAGGATGAAGTAAGAAAAATTCCAGAATGTTAAAAAAGATCCGGCATGCATCAAAACCAGGAGAGATCTGGATTCCTTAAAAAATAGAACAAAAACTCAGGGTTTGATTGTCAAAATTCCTCATAAGCAAAATTTCGAGTTAAGGAAGCCAATTTCGATGAAACTCACATAAAACCTAAGAATCTTGGGCTATTTTCTTCTTGAAGGATTTCAACGCGGCAAATAAGAACATTTTCAGTTAAAATGATTGAAATTCCTGGCAAATTCTTGATTTTTTTAACAAAAAAATGCGTACCGTGACGAGCCAACGGCCACCTTTGGAATTCTCAGGCACTTCCCACATCGGCTGAATGTCCTTTTTGAACACGTTATAGTCGCATGCTGACGGAAGCATTGACGGTGTTTTAATATTTAAATAAAGCCTGCAAAAAGATGCCTTGTATGTGACGATGCCTCAACAAATGTGATGATCTCATACAGAATAACTGGCCGTAAAAAAAAAGCTGTAATTTTGTCAGAATATTTATCGTCCACCTCGGGTCTCCATATTCAAATGGAGTTTAAAAATGCACTTGCATCACGACTTAGGGCACTTCAAAGATATTTGTAGCAAAGTTGCAATTTTGAATACCGGAAAACCACATTCAACTCCAAGTGATATCAGTGAGCCTGACCACAAAATGTTCAATAATTTCTGAAAACCCAAAATTTCTTCGCATTTTCACTTTCAGAAATGCTCGTCCTTTTCGCAAGATTAAAATTATCACCTAATTTATCCCTCAGAAATATACGGATTAACACATTACCAAAGATATCAAGACGAGTCAAAGTATAGTCAAAAGCGGTGAAAAAGCCAAGTTTTGGCCAGAAACACAAGACAAGCTAAAGTGTGGCCAAAGAAGCCAAAAAGAGCAAAATGGACCCACAAATTTTGCATGTCTAGACCAGAACAAAAGCATTTTCCCCGGGTAAAATATGCTAAGATCGGTGAGGAAGAAGTAAAAATGCTTACGCCCAAAATTCTTCAACAGTTGAGAATGTCTCCACCATTTTGAGGCGTTTTTCCCAACTTTTGTCACGCTGATCGTTCAGGTACCACAATGTCCATGAGTACTTCAGCGGATGATTGGTGATCAGGGCGCCTGCTTTCTGAAATTCCAAGATTTCATTCAGTCGTTTCCCTTTTTATGCATTTCTTGCATCTATGCAATGCAAAAACGCGTTGTCAAGAGGTTGTGTGTGTGTGTGCGTGCGTGCGTGCGTGTGCGTGTGTGTGCGTGCGTGCTCGTGTGCGCGTGTGTGTGTCTATGTCTGTGTGCTTGCTTATGCCGATTTTTTACCTCAAGACCTACAAAAGTTACAAGGTTGAAAATTTGGGAACTTAATCTACATACAAGCACGAGCCCCTGTTCCCAAAACAGTCACTCCTAACCACGTGACTCCCACGTACGGGTCCGTGGAAGTTTTTTGCGGGTAAGTTGCTAACTTGGGGACCAGAAAAGCTAGGAAGCTGGAAAATTTCCAGGGGATTTTTTCTCATAGTCTTGGTGGCCAGTCTCAATTCTTTTAGCTAGAAGCATCTGTCGGCCAAAAACAGTGTCGTTAGCGACAGAAACCTGCGGGGAATTGTGCAAAAACCGTATCTTCGCACGGGCAGCCGGTGCGCTGGCCAATTATCGCCTCCGGCAGGAGACTCAAAAATGAGGTCAGTGCGAAAAAGCATACCGGATGCTCTGTGCTGCCACCAACAAAATCCTCTGCTTCATCATCTGGTGGTGGAGTGATCACACCATTGCAATGCTCACTGTCCGGGGTTGATCGCTCGGCAACTGGTACCGCAATAGCCATATCTGCAAAATGAGCGATTTCAGGTTAGTTGCCATGCCATAACTTCCGTTTCGGAGCCTCAATTCATAGCCTCCATCGCACGACCCCTCCTCTTGCAGAACTTCATTTCAAAACTTCGACCGCACAGCCTCACTTCAAAATCTCCACTGTTCAAAGCTTCACGTATACGACTTAATGGACCGAAACATTCCTCATTATCTCTAAATTTTTAATATAATTTCGTATTTTATACGTATTATTGATCTTTTGGTTTCTCCTTTTGTTTTTTTTTTAAATACCCGCTGTGCAAAGCTTCACGTATATGACTTAATGGATCGAAACATTCCCATTCATCGTCAAATTTTCTAACATAATTTCGTATTTTACACGTATTATTGATCTTTTGATTTTTTTAAAATGTAAATTTTTATTTTATTAGAAGCATAAATACTGATTTTAAAAACGGTCACCACATACCCGCATCCCACAACTGATGCTTAGGTAAAGCTGTCCCACAAAAGTCCATCATCAGGCTTCCCTATTTATGAAACTGATGCATAGGTAAAGCTGAGGGCGAATAAGTCCCGTGAAGTGAACAAGAGCAGGGTAGACTAGATGCATGGGGATGAAGTCAGCCTTCACTTCTGTGAGATTCTGAAGGAAAAAAATAGAGCTATAACTGTTGTGTACAACAGCAGAAAGCGGGAAGCAACACTGTGGGATTGTCTGCAATTCTTGTGTAAAGCCGCAGAATCGATTTTTCAGTCGCAGAATCGATTTTTCAGTCGCAGAATCGATTTTTCAGTCTCCGTCTCACAAGGCCTCATCCTACTAATTTCACAACTTTCCGCCGTTTTGCGGGCTCATTAGATAACCTCGGATGTGGCGCTACTTCACGTTAAATCACTTATCCGCAATTTCAACCCAGAACTTCCCTGAGCTGTCCCTCAAACCAATCAGTTTGTATCGCATAAACTCATCTTATGCCCCGAAAGTTATTTCATAACCTCAAGCTTCATTTCATAATCTTACACCCTTCGTTTAAACTTTCTGACTCCGGCCGTTCCACACTTTGATTTCTTTAGACCGTTCACTTTTTTCTTAAGATTACGATGCCCACCTACATGGAGCCTCATTCCCCCGTTCCCAAACCCTCAACTACGACCACCTGTCGCACCTGCCCCATTCTGCACCCTTTCCCCGCATCAACCACATTTCACAGCTCCCGCCGCCGAGCCTCCATTGCAGAGTCCCCTCCCAAAACCATCGCTAGAAAGACAATCATTTCATAATTCTACGCTAAAAACTTTCACGGGGCTGTACATGAAAAACACGCAATCCCGGGGGCTGAATTTGATACTTTTAAGTTTTACGGTGGTTGAGAACATTCCCTCAAAATTTCAGACTCCCAGCTTTTCTGGTTCCCAAGTTAGCGATCTTTCCCGACAACATGTCCGATTTCTACAGCCCGCAGAGCAAACCAGCACTCAGTGTCGCATGAGTACAATTCACCAGAAACTCACAGAATCACTGGGATGGCCCGCACCCCTCCCCCGTCCCCTACTTCATCAACCAATAAACCACACCAGAAAACAACAAAAAGCTCCCATAAGCCGAGCGAGTACGCGGTGGAGTGACAGTATTTAACGCAGATGCACTGCGAAATAGCCCCATCCCACGTTTCGAAGGCGTACGGTACGACAATTACTAAAATCCGACCTGATCGCCGGGTATAAATTGTGATAAACGAGGAATGTTTACGAGGAGTTGGACTTGTGCCCAGGGATGAGAGGGAGGGGGCAGGGACTCGCAGGTCGCTAATAGCAGGAATGATCCCTGAGTTGTAGCCTAACACCTGGGCTCATATTAGCCAAGTTTTGGCCCCTTCCAGCATGCGGGAGAAAGGGTGTCGGTTGGGATGAAAGTGGTGCATTATAGAGCCGCACGGACCTTCAGGTACACGATTACCAGCTTTTTGCATGAAGCCCGGTTTTTGAAAAGATGAAAAATGCAAATTTTTTGAAAAAATGTGAATTTCCAGATCACTAAAAAGTGAAAAAATGTGCTCAAGCTGTCGTTTGTTAAACCCAAGCTGGAACGCAAAAGGCGAGCCGGTGCGATCATGCGTTTCTGCACCAAACTTGAAGTAATTAGGTTAGCTGCATGAACGGCAGTTTCTTCACACCTATCTTGTGCACTCACTACAGTAAATCACCGTAAATTTTGCATAAAAAGAAATGGTTTCCTTTTAGCGGTCGTTTTTTGAAAAAGACCCAGCCGTTCAATGATTAATTCTCCCATTAAAAATTTACGTACCCGTACACGAACCACATGTACTTAGAGGTTGACTTTGAACCTTTAGGTTGTATTTGGACGGGGAATATTCTCCTAAAATCCCAGTTTCCCAGCTTTTCTGTTCCCCGAGTTAGCAATTTTCCCCCCAAACTTTCACAAGGCCAAACGTGACCCGTGAGCATACCTGTAGGCTGGGTTTGGAATCTTTTAGTTGTATGTAGGCTGGAAAAATCCCTTTAAAATTTCAACCTCCCAGCTCTCCTGATTCCCGAGTTAGCCATTTTCCCGCCAAAAAATTTCACGAGGCCCTACGTGAGAACCACGCATGCCTGAGGGCTGACTTTGATAACTTTAAGTTGTGTATAAGCTGGGAACATTCCCTTAAAATTTCGGCCTCCCAGCTTTCCTGATTCCCGAGTTAGCGATTTTTGAATTAGGAACCCTCACGGGGTCGCACGCGGGAACCACGCACACCTGGGGGCTGAATTTGAAACTTTTGAGTTATATGCGGACGAGGAACATAACCTCAAAATTTCAGCTTTCTTCCTTTTCTCGTTCTCGAGTTATCAATTTTTCCGCCAAAACTTTCACCCTCTCCTACGCGAGGCCCAGACTTGCTTGGGGGTTGATGCCGCGGTCATGTGTGACACTTGGCCGGGGAACCCACTAGCAAATTTTGCGCTGGAGCTTGCTTGGTTGCCGAGTTGAAATATCCGGACAGACGAACACACACACACACACACAAACATATACGCACACACATGCACACACAGACAGGGTCATCCAGTGGGCGTTTTTGCAATTTGCATACAGGCAAAAACGCGTAAAAGTACAAGCATGCAAATGAACCGAATGTTCGTTTACATAGTTGGATGAGGGCGGTCGTCCGCTGCAAAACGCACTCGTTTCTAATTTTTATGGTAAATTTGATTATTTCTCGTGTCCACCTGCAGAAAATTTCAATTCCAAGCAAAATTATGACCGCATATGAAAGTAGGATATCCCAGCGAAGTTTCAGCCTCGCATCTTATTCAGTAAGCGAAATATCTACTTCGTTACAAATATCTTTGAAGTGTCTTAAATCGTGGCGCAAGTGAGCAACCAGTACAGCGGGGCATTCAGTCTCTCCAAAGAAACCCCGCAACTAGTGCAACCCCACCACGACCCTCAAAATCAAACCAGCAATCCCCCCTCCCTCCCTCCCTCTCTGAAGTTAGTCGGAATCAATCAACTGTTCCTCCCATTCCCTCCTTTCTCAGGCAGCAATGCAATTATTTGCTCAACAGCACGCCCCCTCCCCCGCCGGCAAGGTGAGCCCCACTTTCCCCTCCCCACTCCACTCCCCACAAAAAAAAGCACCCACCCAACAACGCACAATCAGCCCAGCACCACCAACCGCCACAAACAATCACTACAAACCAACCTCCCCCCACCCTCCCTCGCCCCCAGAAGTTACACTTTGTTACAGACCATCGGCAGCAGAGGATGCGATGAAACAACCGTCCTAACCCACGATGAGCGGTTGTTGTCGCGAGACCCGAAGCTCTAGTCTCGCTTCACGCTACTCGACGGTTACACAAACGATCGGACTATGTTACACGAAAGCTTTCTGGATGTTACTTGAAATTGATGACACAGTGGTCCATCAGTACAAATAATCTACGGCAAATCTTCAAGTACTGCAGCCAGAAATGGGCACTTGAATAAATGGGTGGGCACCATTGGGAAGTGTGCGTTACTCGAGCACTACACGAGCAACACTGGCTGCTTACTTGTGATGAGGAAAAAAAAAGGGAATAGAATAAAAATTGAAAAAATTTTTCTTCTTCATTCTCGGTGATTATAAATTCCTTCTTTCCCGTCAGGAACGCCGGGTTCTTCACTGCCATGCGGGTTTCTTTTTTTTTAGAGAATCCAACTTTTATTTTCTCTTCAAAAAAACAAGCCACAAAACTCCTCAACCAACCTTCTTCCAATCAAACAACAACCAACAATCTTCCAATCCAACAGTAACCAATACTCTTCCATCCAACAATAGCCAACAAGGTTTCAAGCCAACAATCACCAGCACCCTTTCAAACCGCTAATAACCAAAACACTTTCAATCCAACAACAACTAACAAAAGAAACTCAATTTTCACGCTCTCCTTAAACCACAGTCCTACCAAACCGACCGCTCAATCGACCTCCTTCCCAAACAACAAAAGCAACAAGCCCCAAAAACGCTTCACAACAACAAGCAACACAAACAAACCCACAGTGACCCACACAGCCAATCCTCATAATAGTCGACCCAGCCATCCCTCCAAATAAATAACAACACAGCTAATCAGATAATAATCAATACAGCAATCCATAATCCTCCTTCCCTCCATTCACCCCCCACCCAAGTCCGTGTGACCTCGCTCTATTTGGGCGGGAGGTGGACAAGGGAAGCACAGAGGGTGACCTTTTGAACTCCCCTTTCGCG